CTGTCGAAGCTGCTGTGAGCCTATGAGAGCGGTTCATTCTTTTTAATGTTCGGTTCTGTCGTACTGCAAGCGCCAAAAAAAATTGCGATTTAGTGTCCGATGAACCTGATCAGTGATCAGCCTTGCTTATGGTAGCTTGTAACGGTGGTGGCAGATTGCAAAGTGGCGACAAATAAAGCAGTGGACTCGAGCAGTGGGAAGCTCAGCTTTTAATTTTGCCCCGAAACTTGATCCCACGAACCAGGGGGTGGTAAAAGTCCGTGGCTTTTCTGCACTAAGAATGCCTAATTAAAAGTTAGGCTAGTTGGTTTTCATTAAGCTTCAATTGAGTTTTACAGCTAAGCATACAACTGTCACAGCAAAGAAGCACATACGTGCAGCGCTGCTTATTTCTCTTTTTCTCTCTTTCTCTCTCTCACTCTCTCTCTCTCAGCAAGGATGAGCTAACGGAGATGTATGCGCGCGCAAACTGCAAAACGCCATTATGCTGCAAGTGTAAATACTCACTCATAAATCCATCTCGCCAGTATATCAAGAATTGAATATCCACTAAAGATGATCAGGTCAACTGGTTTTTGAAGCAGAGGACAAGAACAGTTGTGCCAAAATTAAAAATATCAATAAAAAATAAATTGAATAAAAGCTCGGGATGACATGAAGCAGGTTAAGTAGTGGAAGGTATACTACTCGGTACGCCTGGGTTTTCTGTTTATTGTAGACTTTACGGTATCGAACTTGTAGACTAAAAACGATTCGTAGATTCCCCGCTCATGGTGTGAGCGGAAACCGGATTTCAATACCACTGCTTTAATTTTGTCGAAAGAATGACCAGGTATTGTTATGTTTTAATAAGGACAAATTTGCAAGAGTTCTGACGTGAGACATGATTATTGAATTGCGTTCTAAACGGTGTTTCAGTATGGCCAATATATTGTAGATTACAGGTATTGCTTTCATGCAAGTATACTACGTTGGAACTGTCACAATTTAGATTGCTCCTGATTGTCAGCTCAAAGCCAGTGAATGAACTGCTGACAGTTTGCGCAGTTACCATGTGCGCACACACCTTGCACTGTGACTTCTCACAAGGAGCACAGCCATTTTGTTTAGGGGCGGCGAGCTTAGAAGATGAAAGAATATCGCGGAGGTTCCGTGCTCGTCTGTAAACGACCCTGGATGGTTCTGGAAATATATTTTCTGGGCGTTCATTTTGAGTTAATACGTTATTGTGTCGCTTTAAAGTGGCATTGACGTTTGAGGCTGACGCTGAATGGGTGAGCATAAGATTAGCCTAGAATGTACTGGAATCGCTGGGGATGGCGTTAATCAGGTCAACTTTGTTTAGTTTGTTGGCGTGCTTAATGGCGTCATGGACTATTTCCGGTGGGTATTTACGTTAAGAGCGAACGTATTAGATCCTGGCAAATCGAAAAGGAATCATTGTGGTTATAGCATAATATTTTGAACCTGTGAGCTTATCTGTATGTCCTTGTCCTATGTGTCTAAACACGCTACGTCGATTAATTATCTGTATGGTTTTTCTGTTTTAAAATGTTGGACGTGACTGCTATGGAAACGGAGAAGCTGATGCCTATCCCTCAGTTTGCGAGTTTTGTAGAGAGCTGTCCTTATCTAGCTGTGACGGTAACGTCAAGAAAGTTTCTAGTTGTTGAGTAATTATGAGAGATAGTAATGGTGGGGTTGGCATTGTTGAAGTTCTTAATGAATCAATGCAGTGAAGCGCAAAAAGTAGACAAACAAGCGAGAGGACGAAGGCACAGCCCCCTCGTCCCTGTTTCCTCGTTTGTTTATTGTCTGCTTTTTGCACTTTACTACATTATAATTGACTTCTTCCAACTCGCTTAACAAGCAACGTTGCTTCTTAATGAAACTTTAAAAACCCTTATCGCCATGTGGTCAAATCACGAAAATGCCATCGATGAAACGCCTATAAAAGAAAGGTTTCAGAGTTGAATTTTCAATGAAGTTAGCTTCCAAAATGCCCATATATAATTGCATAGTTGGGACCTACTCTAGTGCCCATAGATGTCCCGTTTGTCTGAACATATATCGTGAGTTATCCAATTCAAAGTTGTTTTTTTTCTAAGATGAGCTTCATGATGGTACCAATGGTTTCGCCATCAACTGGCTTGTCAAAACTCAAATCCTCGTAAGCTTTTATGTGAGCGAAATGTCATCGTTGTGTGGAATGTTTGTGTACAACAAAAAGACATCAAGTGCAACCGGAAGACTACCGTCTGAAGCACCTACATCTAAAATGTCTTTCAAGGAGTGATTTGTACCCTCTATAAATGACTAGAAAGTAGGTGGAATCCTGTTTACGAGACTACCGACAAACCTGGATAGATTTCCAGTAAAGGTTCATATCCAAAAAATGATGGGGTGTCCGAGGTTATTCACTTTGTGCATCTCGGGCAGGAGATAAAATCTACCTGCCACTGGGCTGAATGGAACGAGTGAACGGGCTGTCGCTTTATCGATCTTTTCGTTCTTTACAAATGTTAGTACGTTCCACAAATCGACCTCTTAGTCGTTTGTAGGATCGCCACAGAGGTCCGTAAAAGTTACGATCGGACAGCATGCCTCTCACGTTCACTTATACAGGGTGTTTCAAGAAATGTGTCAAAAATTCTTTAAAAATCGCAGAAAGTGGGTATCTGCGTGATATTTGTGGCATTCACTTTCCTGTGGTAGAAGGCATCATCAGATGTGCTCAAACAATAATTAAGGTAGTACTTACAGAAATAACACAATCAACTTTTTAACCAGTGGAGATTGCCGGTCGAGTCAAATGGGCAAATTCAAGCCCTTCCTAAGAATATTCCATAGCCACTTTGAAATTTTGGAAAAGCGGCTGCTGGTAATCACCGCGGAGCGATGCAATGAGCCTAATTTAGCTGGCGAAGCCTAAACCAACGCACGAAACAGCGCATCTACCGTTCACCTCGACAACACCCTCAGTGACGTCCCTTCTTCCCTCACTGTTATGAACCGGCAATTTCGACACTTCACTTCGAGGCCGCTTATTGACGCTCGCCTAATTCTCCCCCAATCCGAGGGAAACAGTGTCGTCATTGATGGCGTTGTAGAAGTGAATATTAGATGTGCAGTTTGGGGCGCGCGTTTTGGTTTCGCCAGCTAAATTGGCTATAATTCGTCACTCCACGGTGATTATACAATGTCCGCTTATCCAAAATATCAAAATGGCTATGGACTCGTAGGAAGGGCTTAAATTAGCCTGTTTCACTCGCCTGGCTATTACCACTGGCCAAAAAGTTAATTGTGTTAATTTCTATAATTACTGCCGTAATTATTGTTTGTACCCATCTGAAGATCCATACTGCTACAGGAAGGCAGCGCCGCAAGTAACACGCAGATACTTCTTTTTCGTAATTAAAAAAGTATTGGACCCATTTCTTAAAACACCCCGTATAGTCATATATACTAAGAATGACAATAGCACCACCTTTGTCTGCCGGCTTAATTATGATTTCAGGGTTATTTCTAGCGCTTCGAGTGCCCTTTTTTGTTCATAGGTTATGCCAATGGGGAGCGCGAGTTTTGTAAGAATCTATGACGTCTTGTTATACAGCCCTGATATATAGGTCTAAGAACCGATCACGTTGTGGCGGTGGGGTTTAGTGCTTCTGCTGAGGGAGTACCAGCCCGCTTTGACGGTCACTATAATGACCGTAGAAATATCCTTTAAGGCGCATGTATCGGGCGGAGTTGTGAATGTCCTTAATAAGTTGAAATTGATTGAACCCACCGTTTGCCTGACAAAAACTAAGGCCCTTCGATGAACAAGATACCTGCGCGTCGGAAACCATTTCCGAAGAAAGATTTATAACATTGTCATGCAGTGCTCGTTTTCCTTTATCGGCTCAATCAGCTCTAACGGCTTGACGAAGGGAGCAAGTTAGCACGCATGTACTTTTTTTGCTTGATTGCATTTAGTTTTGCAAACTTAATTTGCTGGTAGGCTACCAAGTGATCAGATTCGAGTAGCGTTATCTGCGATAGCAGAAGCGCTTCTTTCTGAAACAGTTGTTTAGCGCGTGATTTCTTGTGGTCTATAACAATAGGCGTCAAATTTAGCGAAGCACTTTGTAAATCTTGTTGCCATCTCGCCTTGTGGTGAGCGGATAGCTCGGAAGTAGCTGCATTTAGTCGCATTTGTAACCCTTTGGGCAATTTGGACGAAGTTAGATAAGTGGTGAACGTTGATGCATAAAGCTCAGCGTGAATGCTTTTGTCAGCTAGTTTTCTAGCATGTGAAAATGTATCGGGATATGTACAGGATGCAGCTTTACCAGTGAAAGGTCCAGGAAGTCACTTGAACACTGTGTCCTGGTTTTGACAAAAAAAACTCAGGCGTTTTTTTTTTTGTAGAAATTGTGAGTAGAAATCCTTAAAACGCGCCGACTACAAGTGGGGAGTTTTCGACCATCGCCACACGAAGCGTGAAGAAACTACGGACTTTCTCTTCGTGGAAGAGTATTGTCGCAGGCGGATTGCTGGCACCTACGCCTTCCCGTGCCCAAAATGCAGACTGCCCAAAGGGAAAGCGCACGAGTTGGTTTACTCCCTATAGGAAGTGTACCACGTGCTGATTGTGACGCTTCGTTCATGGGGGAAGCAAACAACTTCCCCGAGTGGTCACGGACACCAGCGGCAGCGGCGGACAACTACAGTGCCAGAATCTGCCCTTGTTGTAATCTCACGAGAGACTTCGTTGTAAGGAGCCAACTGTTGTCAAACGGGTGGTGCAGTCCATCGGCCGACTTTGGGTCAATCCCCTCAATAATCAGGTGATGGAGTGGTGGGGTGGATGGGAAACGCTGGGCACTCTCTGATAGCTTTGTACAAGCAAGAAGAGCTCAAAGAAGAGCCGAGCTGTGGTTCATCACGAAAAGGACGTGCTATAAATGTTAGAACTGACGAAAACTGACGATTCTAAGCTGACGAAAAGAACTGACCAGCGTCTCCGCCTTCATCCTGCGACTCGTCTTGGCTGTCTCGACGCCCTGTCTGCTGCAACTGCTTCTTCTTCCAGATTAGGATGGGGTCGGGATCATAGCCCCGCTGCCGCAGTGTCTCCAACATCTCTTTGCGGCGGCGGTTCTCGATCTTGATGATGTTGCCAATTTTCTCGAGAATGAAGCGTGCCTGGTTTTCGAGGCGCTTCGCTTCAGCCGACAACAAACCGATGAGGTAGGCCTTTCTATTGACATACCTGCAAAAATTAGATACAAAGTTAAAATAATGTTTTCAGTGAAAGACGTGCAATCGCTATGCTACCCAAAGTGGCTGAAATCACGAAAATAGTTGAAAAAAAGTCATGATCAAACTAAACATCATGACCAAAAATGGAATCTTTCTACTTCGATTTGAAGCGTGACGCGCCGTGTTTTCTTTAGCGGAGGCAACTCGAAATTCGAAAGTTTAGTTGCGCGGTTACCACTTGCTCACGAACCCCCGCAACCGACGTAATAAAACTCACGCTTGCAGGCGCGTATCGAAGAAGTCGCGCAGGATGTCCTCGGGGGTTCGAAACGTCCTCAGGACGCCCTTGGAGTCGAACAGAACCATAGAGGACGTCGTGAACGTAGTCTGCAGCTTGAAAGCCTTGTGCAGTCCTTCTTCGCGGGCTTTGGCCAGCTTCTCTTCGGCCATGGTAACCACGAAGCGAACGGTGGTGTCTGTGTGGTACTCCTTGTAGTCGGATATGAGCGGTGGCACTTTCTCTGTGCCATGCAGCATGGTCTCCAGCACCGTCTCCTTGTACGTCTGAGTCCACACCCGGACCGGAAGCTCCGTGATCTCGATGCTGGTGGAGTTGAGCACGGCCACCTCGCCGCTCACGATGAACCTCTGCTCTTCGACCTGAGTGCCAGCAGCACAGACACAGAACAATCAAATGAATCGAAGGGGCCCTGCAACACTTTTCCAGGTTTTAATAGAATGGCTTCATTCAAAGAGTTCATTGTCTCACAAATGCACCGCTGAAAAAATGCTTGGAAGCCGTCGAGTACAACCAGAGTTGGGAATTTGTCGCTTTCTTCTCGTCCCAACGAGCGTGCTGGAAGCTAATCAAGAAGGGATTGCAAAGCGGAAGTAAGTTACGTCACAAGATGTAGATCCTACAGTTCTGGCTCACACCCAACCTTAGATATCGGTGAAGAATTGGGTAGCTTAGAAAAAAAATATATCTAATTCCTACAAAAGATTACAATACTTCGTTTTGTAACCACAAAATAATTTATAATCATTCTTGAGACAAAATAGGTTACACAAATAATTCACACTGGAATGGAAATAAATTAATATATAAGGAAATTCGCTGTAGCCTACACTGCTTAAGGACCATGGTAACTGAATTTATTGTATGAATCTGTCTAATGAAATCTAGCACGGCCTCGGATACTTTCCTGTTGCTGTGACCTAGGGTAAGTGTACCAATGGATAGTAAGTTTGAAGTTAAATCTGATTTAATGATGTTTAACGGCGTTTTAGATATATTTCTTAATGCAGAAATCTTTCTTGGCAAGAGATCAGAAAGTGTTTTATTGTTGCCTCTTCTCCACAAGAAAAAACATAGCAGAGAGTGTGTCAGGTCGGATTTGTATAAATACAAATTTAATGGTGGAACACGACAGCGTAACCTAGTGATTGTCACTTCAAGACCTCTGTCATGACATTATGTTTTCCACAGTGCCAATAGATTATTAAAATACGGGGAATTTCTTCGAGATGGTGTAGAGAATTCCGACAGCATTATTTGCCTCCGAAATCTCGCCGCTACTATAAAATGGTGTAGGAGTAAGAATAGCTGATCCGTCTTACACAGATTTCGTTGCGCATCAGCTGTTTCATTTACAATCAAGCTTTGTGCCCAGGTACCCACATTAATTGAACAGGTAAGCGATTCGTACTAGAAGGACTCTGAACTTTCAATGTTCAAATCACTGGAGGACGTGAGCGCACAGCCCACTGATGAAGAGTGTTTTTATTACGGCGGAATTTCTTGATGTGGTCAATTTACGAAAGGCTATTACCACAACTAAAAATTCTGTAATAATAGTGGGTGCAAAATCTGGAATGTGGAGCTGCCTTTCAAGCTCCACTATGATCGAATTCGTAACAGTCAATGTCCGATCAGAAATGGACCCTTCAAATTTTTATTATGCTTCACCTTATTACACTCTTATTGCGGTACAGCTGCTTTTCATGCTTCACGACACACGCCAATGTATTGAGAAAAAAAACACTTAGTCCAATATGATTGATTGATTTGTGGGGTTGAACGTCCCAATCCACCATATGATTATGAGAGACGCCGTAGTGGAGGGCTCCGGAAATTTCGACCACCTGCAGTTCTTTAATGTGCACCCAAATCTGAGCACACGGGCCTACAACATTTCCGTCTCCATTGGAAATGCAGCCGCAGGAAATGCAGTGCTAAAAAAGTGTGGCACAATCCCTACTTAGAGACAGAGCATCAGCCTCGCATGCAAGAGGTCCGTGGCTTGAATCCCGGTGCTGTACAATTCCCACCCGGATCGAAAAAACTCCTCAAGATGGAATCGCATGTTTAAAAAAGGGCCTGGAGTGTGGCCTCACTGGCAACCACAGCAATTAACGCACTCCCTCGCCACAGCAGGATTGGTCACCCTGGTGCAGTACTTCGCCCCTACCTCCCTTATGAAAGTCCATTAACCCTTGGCTGTCAGTCACAGTGGCTGCGAAGCAACTGACAAAGGTGGCGGTCAGACCTGCACCGCAGTGGAGGGTGCTAAGCATCTCTGGGTCGGAAAGGCGGTCATTGGAATCTAAATTGGCTACGTTGAACGCTAGAACGTAATTGTATTTAGGAGAGCCTAGCTGCGAGTACATGGGCCTACAACATTTCCGCCTCCATCCGAAAAGCGCCAG